CAGGCTGAGCTATGAGACACAAAAGCATTTGCCAGGACCCTGAATTGCCTTTTCAGAAAAGAAACTAATTTTTCAGGCTTTGGGTTCTTAAGGCCACCAGCTTTCCAAGAAATTTTAAATGCGGTAAAATTCACCTAAATCCTATAATCACTCACAGAAACAAAGGCTGGACTGATTATTTTTGCTAAAAAGTTGGCAGGTTTCCAACTTCATGAAATGCAGCTTTGCTGAAAGAAAAATCTCTTCCAGGCAAAAGCATCTATTAGTGGTTTATGAAAACAAATTAAAATAAGGCATTTCGGGGGAAAAAAAAAAGCCTTTAAAAATAGCCTTGATGCTATCTTTAACCCCAAGGCTGGAAGAGGAAGTGACATTTTTCATCTGTTTCCCCCCACCCCAGCTAAACCAAAATGGGATGAGTGCAGTATTTTTAGGCTCCCGTTCCTGCTGGAGATGCAAGAAAAGCCCCTTTTCCCAAAGCTGGCCGGAGCTCTGCATGCTTGGGACAGCTTTGGGAACATCTGCCTGCCCCAGCACTCGGGAAATAGTGCTTGGAGAAGGTTTTGGGGACCAGGAGCTTCTTTGTGGGTGGCCAAACGGGGTGGGAGCTACCTCAGCCTAATCATTTCAGGGTAGTTGCCAGGGGCTTTCTCACAGGGAGGTCTGCAAAAGATTAACTGTATGCTGCTGCAGCACTTCATCACCACTCAGAAAAAGGCCTTTGAGGCTCTCCTCGCAGCTTGCTTTGGAGGGGCAAGAGCATGGTGAAGAGCAGCACCTGGCCCTGTGCCACACACAGCAAGGTAGCCATGGGAATGGGGCTCACAAACCTCCTCATCCAAGCTGCTCCTCAGCTCTGGAGTGCACAGCTCACTCCCCGCTGTCATTGCTCTTCTCAAAACCCTTAACAATCTCCTGGTAGTGCAAGGACCAAATCTGCACACAGCCCTCAAATGGCTTTAGAGAGGCATGAGGATGTCCTCAATCTCACTCCTTTCCCAACCATCCCCAATATATGGCTTGCCACTACTGCTGCCAGATGTGAAAATATTTGGGTAAGAACAGCTACCATAGCTCCAAGCTCTTGCACTCAAGCAGCAGGGGCCAGCTCAGAACAGGTCACTTGAAAAGTGAAGTGAAATCTGGTTTTCCCTTCATGTATCCTTTGGTACATACCTACAGTGACTTTCATCCATCATTTGCACTTGTACACATTTGGTTTCACAAGAGCTTTTTGCAATTTCTCAGTCAACCTTTTCCTTCAGCATCCTAAATAACTGTCCATCATCAAATTAACCTTTGGCTTTTAATGACACTATCCAGGCCAGGTCTAATGACATATGCCACCAGCAACCTCCCTTCCTGGAGAGAAACACTCCCTCCATTTCCCAGCTTTAATCACCTGTGGGAGGACATTGCCTTTTATGCCACAGCTCTTGAGCTTTAGAAGCCAGTGGCTATATAAAAGACTTCACCCTTACCTATGTGCTTTTTGAGTACTTCAGAGAACTCAGAGGTTTGTAAGACATGACTTCTCTCTACAGGAGCCCTGTTGACACTCCCCTGCCAATTAATACATTAATTGTAGGCTGTGGTACAGTTTGTAGTCATGTGACCAATACAGACATTAGGTACAGACACCTAGAAAGCCCCTGAAGGCTTTTAATGTTCTGTGGAAAGCCAGTGCAGCTGCTCTGGTCAAGGAGCTGTTTGCAAAGCTCTTGCTTGGGAGGATGCAAAACCTTCATCCATTAACCAACCATTAACTGCTGCACAGCCTCACATCAACTACTCACCTTGCCTGGACCCCTTAATCCATACACCAGTGGATTTAATACCACTGTATTAAAGAAGGCAGCTTACAGAAAGGCTGATGGGAATTTATTCACTGGGCTCTTGGGAGGCAGAGCTTATAAAGCAGAAGTTTAAAGAACAGGGTGCTAGGCAGAGGAGTAAGTCATACATAGGAATCTGCATCACCCAAGTCTTTGACTCTAAAGTTGATGCAAGGCATGATCCACAGAAGCAGCTGCACACCCGAGCATCCCAGCAAGGGAGGGGCAGCTGGCTCCATCAAGGGACCAGGGTCACCACAGCACCCAGGGCACAAGTGAGGCAGAAGCCAGGACAGCTGCTTTGACTTACAGAGTTAAGAGTGCTGGAATTAGCCAATTTATTTTCAAATAAAACAGAATGGCAAGAAGAGTTGCATTACACTGTTCTTTAGTAAATGTAAACAAGAGCACATGTTATTTTAGAAGAATTTACCTTTGTAACAATATTGCAAGATATTCAGCACCTGAAAACACCTGCCATGTAGAAACACTTTCCAGACACCAGCGAAGCACCATCAACCCTCAAGTAGGCACAAAAAATAGATTAGCAGTCCACCAATTCAGTCAATCCTCTTTTAGACTTCCTAATACCAACTCGGAAGTGGTGAAGCCACATGAGAAAGCACCAATCTAGGATGAACTCACTCCATCAGTTCAAATAATTTCCTTTTTTTTTCCTTTCTTAAACAGGCTTCCTTTGAAGCAGCAGACTTTACCCCAGATCAGGTATCATCTCATCTGTACATCTAACCTCCTGCTAGATTGGCTACAAACCACCTTCCAGCAGGAGGCATCCAGCCAGCACAAACTGTGCACTGCTCACTCCGCACAGCTCAAGGCAAGGCAACCCACCGCTCCCTACCTGACCCAGATCTTATCTGTCTTACAGGCAGAGCAGGAACAGCACAAATCTGCTGTTATTGTGGGTCTGCAGACAGAGGCACTGACACAGTGACTAAACTGAGAAAGTAAAGAAAAAACAGGGCGGAGACCCAGATATCTTACTGTACACTGAAAAGTGAGTGCACCTTCAGTTTTCTAGAGCTACAACACATTGAAATAGGTTGAAGGCTCACAATTATGTCAGTCACTCCTCCCCACCCTTGGGTATTAGACATCAGAGATGACACCACAAAGGTAGATCTCTAGAGTTGTAATACCTGTTTCCATTGTGATGAAGAAAAGCAGCAAAGGCAGCAGTCACTGCCTGTGGGAGATATGCTCACACCACCAAGGCTTGCAGATACCCAGCACTGAACGGCCAAAGGAATGACAGACTGCCAGGGACACCTCACTTAAAGCTGCACTTTAGGAAGAATGACTATCAAGGAAAGAATATAAACAACTGCCTGTGCAAGCCTGCCAAGTGCCTGTTGACAGCCCTCATTACACTGGCAGAAGCAGAGCACACCACAGCTCAGTCATCACAAAGGTGCAGAGGGCTGTTCAGCTGAAGGACCTTTTCCTGCACTGATCCAGAGCCCAACCAAATGAAGGAGGGTGTTGGTTCAAGGTGGGGCTGCAAGCAGCTGATCTGAGGGAACACAGGAGCAGGACAGGTTTGCAGACACAAGCCATCCACATTAGGAACAGAAAGGAATCGTTAGAGAAAAGCACAAGCCAAACAATACTGGAAGGAAGGATCAATGGATGCCCAATTTTTTTTTTCCCTTTAAAGTATCTGCCACCACATGCCAGAGGTCTCAGGCCACTGTATCTGATGGGTCTGGGGTTTCTGATGCTTCCAGTGGTTTCTTACAGTGTCTCCATGTGACTAGAGCCAGCCGAACAGCAAAAATCAAGCAAGTCATTGCCAGCAGAACAACTAGAAAAGAAACAGAAGCATGTTAGCACATGAGAGAAAGTCCCAGTGCCTCTTGTCATACCCCTAGCTCCCAGTACGGGGGGCATTCAGGGAAAGAAGACCTGGTATAAGAGCCATTACCCCCATCAGAGCTGTATTTCACAGTTCAGAGTTTCACTGCTATCCAGTCAAACTCATCCAATGTCTCCAGGTCAAGACATGTCTAAAAGGGGGATGCTTTATGGACACAGGAATAAAAATGCATTACATTAACAAAACACTCCAAGAATAGTTGAACTATATAAAGAAACACATGCTAGTTTGGGAAAAAGCACATTCTTGCCCCACCAGCCAAACAAGCTGAACCATTAAGAATGAAGTTTTGCTGGCAGAAATGCACCTACTGCAGGAACACAGCTGTCTGCCAGAGATCATGCATACCTTCACATTCCTGGTGGCCAGAACCACCAGATGAGTCTCCAGTGCCCTCATGCCTTTGGCAGACAAGCTCTGCTAAGTCCTGCTGGGTGCTTTTAGGCATTATCAGGCTCCAGCTGCCCTTACAGCAAGAGGGAACACATATAGGGAGTGGCTTCAATGATGGTGCCAGTCCAGAAATTATTTTGGCTACTGGTACATGGCAGTGGGAGGGATGAAGGGTGGGAACAAGCTCCCTTCTGCTGACCCTACGGGGGAAATAGCCATCTCAAACTGCTACAGCAGGGTTCAGAGTTCACATAGCTCAGTTCCTTTCATGCCAGCATAAAACTACACATAGTGGCACAGCTTTTGCCAGACTGTGATTGTACAGTATTCAGACAGCTTAAGCCCTTTTATAATGGATGACTACACTCCGCTACAGTGGCCTGCAGCAACCAAATAATCCCAGGAAAACTTGTTAAGGCTAGCCTGAGCTCTGCATACAAAAGGAGCATGTGCAGCATTTTGCATTGTGAAATTTAGATACAATCCCACCTTGGGTCAGAAACTTATACCTTGCTCCTATATCCCAAACGATATAGGGCAAATGGAAGTGCACGGCCTTCATCCCAGTGCCGTGTCAGATGGAGCTACCAGCAGGGGACTCAAGTGGATGATGGAGAACTGTAGGGCAAACATATTGCACTAGGAAGTGAACTTGAGGCCACAAAAAGTTTGAAACCAGCCTCAAGGTTCATGGGCAATGATTTCTGCTCTATTCTACTCTGCAAAATAAACACCCTTTAATAAACCCCTACTTCTGCTTTTTATAAATAATACTTTTCAAAAGGCAAGTCTTCTTCCCCCTAATACACAGGAAAGATGTGAAAGTGTTTACTGACTTTCTTTTACAGGAGTAGGAAACAGTTCAAAAGATTCACCTATAAAAATGCCATTTGTCCTTGGGGATGAAAACGAGAAGTTCTTGTACATGCTGCCAGTCAGAGCTATTATGACCACTAGGTAGACAGTAAGGTTGTAGCGGACATATTTGTCAATAAAGAAGTTTTCTAAATAAAACCTGTGAAGAAAAAGATTGATCAAAGTAAACATTTTTACATTTTTCTCTGTACATTTCCCCCACCCCCCCTAGAATATTTAAGAAAGGAATTGGACAAAGAATAGTTTTTTTCCAGGCCAGTTTGGACCAGAGTCCAAAATTGTTCATTTACTAAAATTCAAAAGACTAATTAAAAAATTATCTAAGGTACCTTTAGGGAAAAAAATAAAGCCATGTTTTTCCATGCTTTCATACTCACCTGCAAACCCAGGGCAGGTTGGGCTCATGCAAGTTCCTGGCCCACAGCGTGTGCTTATTGGCATTGCTGAGGGTCAGGGAAGAAAAGCTCTGCACAGGCTCCCTGTTCATTTGCCATGAATTATAACACAGACCTTTGCACTCAGTGTTGGTCCAGGGACAGACTATGAACAAATTCAGACAGATAGTCCAACCCATTTACGAGAGGTGGAAGGGGTCTCAGGCTTGGTGGGAATCCATGAGGTTGCTTACCATATTACTAGGTCAAGAGCAAGGATGCTTAGGGAAGCAGTGGTGGCTGTCTCATTGGACACGTTCCACTTGTAGATCAACACAACTTTCAGCAGGGTGGCGATGGTGGTCCACGTTGCATACAACACCAGCCCGTTCTGGACCTGCCATGTAGCACAGCAAGATGACAAGTAGTGATAAAAAAGGTAATTACTGTTTGCCTTTTGTGACCCATAGGTCCTGAGGCAGTTAAGCCAGCCTTCTGGACCTAGCTGCAGGGAAAGTCCTTCAACACAAGAAGAGTTGAAGCCTTGGAGTCCGCAAAGCGATCCCCCAGAGATCCACCTCAGTGGCAGCTGAAGAATACCCCATACAAAGCCCTGTAACCCCAGCGGGGGCTTCCCATCTGTACCTCAAAGCACAGTCTGCCTGGCTGCCCAACCTAGTTGTTGCAGGCTGCTGTAACTGGCAGAGAGAACATTTAGAATCTCAACCTCCCAGCAAACATCTTTACTACATGAAGCCTGCAGCAGGCAATATCAAGGGCTGGAGTAACTCCCAAGTGAGGATGGGGAACCCAGCTATTCTCATTTCCCTGTGCTAAACTGGTGTCTTGGGAAATGCAGTATAAGGGGATGTGAAGGACAGAGCGTGCTCCCAGTTTGTGCCAAGAGCTGCAGACATTTCCACATTGCCAGCAGGGCTGGCAGGAACTTTCCTGTGCAAAGCCTCCCATCTTTGCAGCCTCCCCCTCCACTGAAAATCCTCCTAGCTTCTTGGATGGGCTTTTTCAGCTGACAAACACCAACATTAAGCAAAGGAATCAAGGTGGTTAAAGCACACACAGCAGCCATGGGAGGATCTGCAGTGTGAGGTGTCCTGGATAGGGAAAAAGGGATCAGGGTAGCAGGGGTGAGGAAGGAGAGAGGCACAGGGAAGGAACTAAGGAGTGATGGAGTATGAGTATGTTTCTCTTATTTTCCCTGTGCAGATCGCCAAACACACACCCACTCTTTTCAGGGATAGTGTAAAAGTCACTTCCTTCCAGAATCTGGCAAAACTCAAAGGGAGCTGCATTTGAAACCTCGAGCAGTGCACACTTGCCCATATAAGAAATAAATATTTTTTTGTAGTCAGATACCAGGGACATTACCATCAGCTACAGCAACAGAAGCCACCCTTAGTAATGGCTTCTTCCTCTGCAAGAAATATTCTTCCCACCCCAAACAGAAGTCTGAGCTGAAGTTTTCATACTTCACTGAAAACTTCATTCTGTAGGAGCTCAAGAAGTACAAGGGGTATACCTTGCTCAATCATTCCCATAATGTCCAATAGGACACAGATGCAACTAAGCCTAGTGCACCTGCAGCAGCCACAAGTTAGGGCAGAAATCTTCCCATACCTACCTCCTGCCATTGACTCCCTCATTCTTGATACCTTCAGCACTGCACAGTAGGTTTTTTTGGTTTTGTTTTCAGTATTTACCAACAGCACAGATTCCCAAATGCCACCTACCAGGATGCGGATGAGCCAGAGCTCAGCTTTGTGACCCTTCACAAACCACGAGGAATGGATGCTCAAGGCTTGGTGTGAAATGAAGAGGGAGGCATAGGTGGTAAAAGTGAGGGCTGCCAGGAACACCAGGGCTGGGAGGAGGTATCTAGGACAAAGACCATGCACACACACAATATACAATACATTTTTTTTTAGTAGTGTCAGTGTCTTAATTCATAGCTTTAGCATTTGGCCTTTACTGACTTTAAGTTAACCAACCTTTAATAAAGGTAATCACTACATGTAGCCCTCATTTTGACATATTGCTGTTTTACTGTTAATCATGAAGTTATTTTCCTGACTGCAATCGATTTCTTCACCTCTTGACAGTGGTGCTATTATAAGCCCTTCATGTGACCATGATTGTGAAAACAATCCAAGGCAATGAAGAGAGGCATGGCTCCTGCCTTACCTGGGGGGTTAAAAACATGCAAGAACAGCAGCTCTGAGCAGATCTCAGACTTCAATAATCAATTCACCTCATGGACAAGATGAAAACATCACATAAAAACGCAAAGCTTTTATAAAGGCCACCTTTTGCCAAGGCCTGCCATAGAGTTTTACAGTGTGGTTAAGCATCCACACATAGACGAAAAGGCAAAATGAAGTATTGAGGCAGTCCCAACAGGAGGATTAGAAAGCATTTGTAACAACTCACTCTCGGTCCCACAGAAACAGCCATCCAACATTGAGGCCATTATTCAGAATCCACGCCACATAAAAAGATATTGGCAGCAAGTCTGGCTTTATGTACACACATCCAAGTTCATTCCTGCCATAAAAAAGTGGGTATGAAGAAGAGAAAACAATGCCTGCATTGACCAACCAAACCTTTATAGCCCCGTTTTCCTCATACTAACAGTGATTCCACATTGGAGTCAATATTTCAGCTTAAATCAGACTTTCTCCTCTGCATCCTTCTCTGACATTGTACAGTCCCTGTGGTTTTCCCCACCAGGACATTGTCCCACAGTACAGAACTCTGCACCATCACAGATTTAGTGGGTACTAAAGACTGCTCCACAGATGCTGCAAAGCTCATGCCGCTGGTGCTGGCAGCAATAGCATGGTCATTTTAGCCCAGTGCCCGGGTAAAAAGGCTTGTGGCATCATAGTATGGGTGCATATGTGTATATATTTTGTGTGCATGCACATACATGTGTATGGATTTGACCACTCTTGCACGAACACATACTTCATTCTTCTCTCAACCTTCAGTGTTGGCCACTATCAACTGAGCAACTTTTATAAGTCGTGTGAAAACAGCAGATACACAAGGCTCAAACTAAGCAGTTCATCATCCCCCTTGACAGAAGAGCTGCAATGTAAGTCTGTCCCACAGAGGACATCACAGAATGTTACAGATATTGCATGATACTGCACAAGGCAGTTACTGATCTCATAGCCCCAAGAAAAGCTTCAAGTCCAGATCAACCCAAAAAGACTTCCCAATGGCAATTCTCTGATTTCTAACAGCAAGTAAACTCAAAGCATTAACTCCATCAATTCATTCATTTTGTCCCTGTGGATTCTCAGCATCTAACAGTGGGTAAGTGCAGCTACTGGGTAACTATAAGATCACATGAATCAGTGGAAACCAGGCCTCACAGCACAGTTTACATGCTCTGTCACCTGTCCACACATCACAGCAGCTCATGTACACCTCCAAACTGCTTCCCAGCTACGGATGCTGAACCTAAGAGATGCTCCAGCAGCAGAGCTTCAGCATGTCAAGAGGAACAGCAGTGGGTTCACTCTGACCAGAAACCCCAGAAAAGGGGTTAAGAGCTACAGAAGGGAAGAGCCACTGTCCCTCATTTATACTGTAAGCAGGGAAAATACCTTCGACAGATCCCTGACAACGCATAGAGAAGCAAGGCAAGCTGCCAGACATAGATGACGTTCCAGATGAGGAAAGTCCAGCCAGCTGGTGTGAAGTCTGTGTTGTACTTCGCTGAGATGTTTCCAGGGGTTGTCCTAAATAGACCTGCAGTGGTGAAAGTTATTGCAGGCAGAAGCATTAATACATGCTAAGGATTGTGAAAGGCTGCTGATTTCCCTCACCCTGCAATCTTCCTTAAGGCTTAGTCCACACCTCAGTAGATCAGGGAGAGACAAGAGGATGCCCTTGGTGAAAACAAGCCATGAGCTGCAGTTGGTTTGCCTTTAGTCGCCCATGATGGGATCACTGTCCCTATGGGTAACACTGAGCACCTTCCCTCCTATACAGAGCCAGAAAAGCCAGTTGCCTGTGAAAGCCAGAGAGAAACATCATGTCCATTTTCAAGAGGTTCAGCTGAGTAGTGTTCAAACTGAGCACCACTGCTCTCAAGCCTGCGGCAGCAGCCCAAACAGCTTCCACCAGGGATACAAGGGCAGCATATGCAAAGACTGCCTTTCACCCACCAGTAGATCCATGTTCACCAGGGACAAGGCCATTTACTTGGATTTCAAGGGACTGGACAGGGCTCATGCACCTGGCTGAAACACCTGGAAGATGCACCAGCTACTTCCATCTTTCACAGATCAAGCTGAGTTTGGAGAAGAAATTAGGTAACAAGCACATCTACCCCATCTATGGCACCCTATATCATGAAATATTAGGCACTAAATCCATTCCTGAACATAGACAATCTGCTTGCATTACCTTTGAATATCCCAGTGGCATTTCCAGCATTCAGTATCACCATGACTGTGAAAGTAGCCAGAGACAGAAACATCACCAAAATCTTCAGTTTGTGCATAGTATCCATTTTACCCTGCAACAAATTAGAGATACTGTTTGACTATCCTAATGTATGCCTGGGTTTGTTCCATGTCCCAGAGACTGTTTTAGAAATAATGTTGTAAATTCCCCAGTTTTAACTGTTGACATTTATTTGTGGTGTTTTGATAAGAACTAAAAAGGTCTTGCATGGGCCAGGAGCATCTTTCTTTGAACCAGCATCCTCTTGATACAGCAGTGTCAGCAGCCCAGAAAATAGCCCCAAAATAGGGCAAGCAACAGATACTTCCCCAGAATATTCTTCCAACAGCTCAAGGATTTCTAGTAGTAGTATGTTTAATAGTCTCTCACAGGTTTTTAAGACTAAACTCTCCAGATCCATGAAGTAATCCAATGATCTGGGGGGAAAAAAAATCTGTGTCTGAGATTGTCTGTTAGCAACCTCTACTAGTCCCTAGAACTGTAATAGCTAAAGACCCCATACAAGTTTCAGATGGAGAGCAAACACTACAAACACCTGGGAAGGCTGCCTGGGTTCTAGACAACCCTGATTCACAGAAGCAAAGAGGACTTGCGAGGTTGCAGAATTGAAATGGGAAGTCTGGAGTGCCCAGTGAGCAGCCACTGCCACCACCAGCTCTGCCACCACCCACCTGTGACTGGTATAGTGCAAGAAACATAGCTCAGGTTTGCCTATGGATGTATATCAAAGGTTTTAATGTCCAAATAATTAGCAAGCAAGGTAAAAAAGGGAGTCCAGCTCATCTTACATCACTATTGCAGTTTTATTGAAGCAAACAGGCCTATCAATTCTGCCCACTTTAGGAAGGAAATATGAAAACATTAAATGTCTTGACTTTGCAGCTGAGTGCCTTTTAGTTCAATTTAGCTTTTCACATTTACCTCTCTAACCTTATAACTTACAAAATAACAGCTTCTTTTCATGGTGCTATTACCTCCTCATTTACTGGCTGCAAATAAGATTTAAATGCTTCAGCAGGTCTCAAGAACTTTATGGATTGTAAAATCTACATACTACATTTTTTTCAATGTTTCTAAGTAGTGACTTGAGCTCTCTTAAGTGATCTTCATTAGTCCAGCATTTGTTCTACCAAGGAGAAATTTTGTGCCACCTCTAAGAATAATCGTATATACATCCACACTACAGGTAACAATTCCCCTCACAGCTCAGCACTTGAGCTGCCTTCCTCTATACAATAGCATTTCAATGCCTTCCAGCATTGGCAGGAAAACTGAGTTGTTCCAAGCTGCTCAGCATTGAACTAATAAATTCCAGTTCCCACTTCAGTGGATGGTTTTATAGTTCCGGGCTTTGTTCATTGACTGAGCTGCATCCAGACACAGCACAAGGAAGTGGGAAAGGAAATTCTATTTTCTGTAAATCCATGCAAGCTTTTCAGTTCCATCTAAGGAGAAAACCACCCTTTTTAAAAAGTTAAAATCCTGCGTGGAAGAACTTGTTTAACTCAAGATATCAAATCCCAACTAGATTTATGCCAGTCAAGTCCCAAAACAACATATTGTCTTCAACAGATACACTGAGTTAGCAAACTCTGAAAAGAAAAATCCACTCGTACTGTGAAAGATATCCGAGTCACGAAATAACTGACCTGCAGATTTCTGAAAGCCAGGAAAATGTAGGAGAGGAAATACCACTGTACACTTGTCTTATTCTTATATTCTTTCTTTGAACATTGACTCTTGGCCACTCCAGTACATGAGACTAGATGGTCTTCTGATCTTACTGTCATGCCAAATTTATGTTCTCCTGACAGTCCTGTAATTGAATTCAGCACCACATTTCTTTTTTTATTAGCATATTTAGAAGAGACACAGCTTCAGAGAAAACCATACTTGCTTATGGAAGTCTAGGAGGAAAGTCTTATTTTTAAAACCAGTCAATAGTTTCACTACCGTCTCTTACCTCCTGCCCCCCTCTAATTGACTGCTGGCAATAAATGTCTGCGATATTTCCCTGCCTGCAGTCACCAGTCACAAACACCCTTTAGAAGAATCAGAAATATTACTCACAAGGATCCACACAGGCTTTTTGGCAGTGTCTTACAGCTGTAGTTCAGCTACCAGCAGAGCTGGGGAGTCTCTGCTGCTCAACCTTATCTAAAGAGATTTTATACTACTTTCAGCAGATTAATAATCATGCATTATTTAAAAAATCACGGTAGTTAGACATGCTTTCTGTCTGTGAGCTGCAGTCTCCAATTGGCTAAAGCCTCCCAAAAACAAGCACTTATGCAAGAGCAATGTGATTACTTAACGAGGGCCTTTTATAACAGCTAGAGCAATGCACACTCCCAACTTGCTGGCAGACAAAACCTAATGAGTGCATGCTCTCAGGCTCTTGCCTGTTTCATCCTTCCCCGTGTCTGCCACAAGGAGGGAAACTGAGCACTCCAGTGCAAAATATTGCATCTCGAAATCACAGCTAGGGTAGCACTCCTATGTGGGAGAGGGGATGCTCACAGGGGTAGCTGCAGAAACAGCCTGGATTTGATGTTTGGGGAAGCTGGAGATGTAACACATAGCAAAGTCTAGATCCTGTGAGCAGCTACAGATCTTCCCTGTATCCCCAGAGGGAGCTGAAATCTGAACTCCTCTCTGGATCTGCCACTCAGTGGGCATTTTGTAGTGTTAAACATTGTATAGATATGAGCAACTTCTCTTGCACAGCAAGCACATGTAGAGTAAACCTGTATTTTTTACTTCACTTCTATTCTTTGCAGTGTGACACATACTCTGCTGAAAATCCCTAAACCTGGTGTCAAAGCTGGACTTTAAGTATTTCCTAGATCTGAGGGACTCTGTAAACCCCAGGGAGAGCCTTCCTCATGTCAGAACCAGAAAGGAAAGACAGGTGAGAAAACCCCAAACCTGAAGTGCTAAATGAACTTTTACAGGGTTGTTGGTTTTTTTTTTTAGAGTTTGATCTCAAGTGTATCGCACAAGTAAATTTCTCTTCACAGATACAGAAGAGGCTCCTGTCCCCCACTGCAAGCCAGCCCCCCAGAAGCAGAGCAAGCCACACCAGCTGATCAGCCTCCATCTGCATCTCTGCATGCCATGGGACTGCAGTCTCACCACATTCACTCCTTTCATTTTATATTTCCGCTTGTTTCCCCTCAATTTTAAACTACTATAACCAATTAAAAACATGCTTCAGCATCAAAATGTTATTTACCTTGTGCAACTACAGTGCCTACCACACAGACAGTCTTGCTGGGAACTCCCCCACGTCAAATATAAAGGCAGTGAATAAACTAGCACCTACCCTCACCCATTAGAAGCAACATCATGGGGCTGTGAATGAACTCTGCTAGGGCTTCCTTGACCTTTGGGATAGGAGTACAAAGCCTACACATCCTGGGTTTCAAAGGTATTTTTTCTAGAATAAATTGCAACAGAGTCCTTGGATAAAATATTCAAAATTATTTTATCATGCAGCTCTACAGAAATCCTCTAAAGTATGTTTGTTAAGTATGTTTGTAAAGTACAGAGGAATGTGCTTAGAAATGTGTTAAAACTGAACAGCTCTTGCTTCACTAGGCTGCACAGCATTGCCAAAAGTGGGAATGCTCAATACAGCTACAGCTCTAAGATACCAAAGTCAAACTCAAAGCAAGCATTTATGGAAAAGCCCTACCTTTCTAATGTATCTTCATTCAAAGAACTTTTAGACCTATGTCCTCCACGTGGGCTTCAGCTGAATATCCTTGCTGGCCTGTTGAGGAAGAAAAATTACACTGTCAGATGAGTGACAAATGCAGTGATATACACTTCAGCCAAGAAATGGCTGTTAATGTTTGTATGCACAGACAAAGGGAAGCATGATACAATCTGCATTCACAAAAGGATGCATCTTGAAATCAAGACACTCCGCAGCAATGCTGAATGAAATCACTGGAACAAATTCCACAACACAGCCAGTTCAGTACTTTTCAAGACAAGCTGCTTCGAATCAAATGGAAGTTTGTATTCACCTGGGCCATGACAGAGAAAAACAGTTTCCAGCTAATAGTTTACAATCATAGTTTTCCACTGATAAGCAGAAAAATACACATTCTCTCTTCCTGTATTACCAAAAATCTTTAAAGAAGGACCTATCTTTAGAGCCCTCATTTGTAATTTCCCAGAGGAAAAAAAATAGGAAAAAAGTTGCTTTTCAAGAAGGAGGGATTTACCATGCCAACCCATCCCCATGCATGCTCTCTGCAGCACTATGGTGTGTTCCACCAGCATCGGTCCACCTCAGACACCAGTTCACATGCAATAGCAGGACTGGTTGCAATGGGACCATAGTTCTGCTATCACTCCCCCATGCGCTAGAAAGCAATGTAAGCATTTACAAGATGCTGAGCTAGCATGAGCAGACTTTGCACAGGAATTAATGCCCTGCTGACATGAGGAAGACTTTTTAAAAACATGAATCCTCCAGCTAGTAGCTGAAATAAGACAGTCCCAGCACAGACAGTGGAAGCCAAATGCTAAAGGTACCACTGTGGAGATCCTGCTCACAAAATAAACCTGTTTTGCACTGTGCAGGAACTGAAACAAGTTCATCTGTGTGTAGCTCACTCAACAGCACACACTGTCACTAGCAGGAGACTCCAGAAAGCAAAGCACCAGAAAAGCCACTTCTCACCAAGGAAGACCAATGTCATTTAGGACAGAGGTGTTTCTTATCTGGAGACCAGCTCAAATAGTTAAACAAAACTAGTGCCAGGGTAGTTGGTTATATTCAATTCCAGCCAAGCAACTCAAAATAAAATAGCCTATAAAAAGGAGAAGCTCTCAACACCAAAGGATGCTCCTGGGGAGGGAAGAGCTGACCTGAGAAGCAGCTCTGTATGAGTCTCAAACAGATGTGAGACACAACCAGCACAACTCCTTGTCTCAAGCGCAACCACCAGAAGGGATCCCTGGGTCAAGTCAGAAAGTCTCCTTGCCCTGACCCATACTGAACTGCAAGACAGCCATCACAGCTACTCCAA